GTTCGAAACTCTCCGCACCTATCATCTGGATCAGCCTGAGGGGGGCGTCGGTGTTGGAGTTGTTGGTGGAGAGCTCTTGTCCGTTGTTGCAGATGTGGGTAGCATCTGGCATGCCGGGAGCCCTGTAGTGTCTGATGATGTTGTGAGCCTTCTCTAGTAGTGCGGCTCTGAGGCTGGAATCCTGGACCTGGACCGGGGTGGTCTGGGTCTGGACGTCACTAAGAGAGGGGGGCTCTGGTTGACTGGTCTGGATTCCGCTGTCACTCGTGTAGGGCGACTGGGTCTGGCATTCCGTGGACACAGTGGTGGGAGGTGGGCGGGAGGCAGGTTCGGGTGAGGGGATTTCTCTCCTCTTCCTCTTCTTTCTCCCGTGGCCGGTGCCCTCGGGTGAGCGGAAGGGCTCCTCCCCTCTGGAGTCGAGGGGAACGAGGTCCATCGCAGCTACCGGGGGTGGCGGGGTGGTGGGGAGGGAAGTCATTATCTCCATGTCTAGGACTGGAGGAGGGATCTTCTTTACCCGTGGGGGCCCCTTCTTCTGCGCCAGGCGGGGAGCAGGAGGTTTAGGGGCTGGTGCTCGGGCCATCTGAGGCTTGGTCTTAGCCGGGGCTTTGACCAGAGGTCTCTTCCTTTGACCAAGGTCGAAGGAGATGGAGAGCGTGGAGGTGTTGGACTTGTAGGAAGTCCTGAGGGAGTAGTCCCCAACCCGGTAGGCCAGCAAGGGCTCCAGGATGGAGACAAGCTCCCTCGGTAACGACATTGAGAGGTCTCTCATTGTCAGCTTGGTGGTTTGGAGAGCTTGGGAGGACGTGTGCGCGGGGCGAGAGTCCAAGCCAAGATTGTCCGGAAACCCCGTGTTTCGTTCTTTTATAGTATGTTACATTTCTATATATAAATAACTGCGAGTCCGTGACATTTGGTTGGTTAAGCAAGCAATTCTGTTTGCCTTTATGTTTCCTTATACCTTTTCAAAACAAAGTAGGCCACGCCCACAAGCGGACTTCTGTTTCCTGATTGGCTGATAATAGAGTGGGTGGGGCTTCGTTTGCGTTAAATTGCGCCGAATGATGTCACTGATTTCGTATCGTTGTCAAACAAATTTGTGCAATTGATTAAATAAGCAGTCCGCTATATCATTGACATATTAAGAATTGGCTTCACTATTTCTTGCGTTGAAATGTGTAAATCCGCCACGGTTCGGATTAACGGGGTTTGGCGTAGATATCACTCTTGTTGCTCCAGTTGCCATATCTTTGGTGATGGTACAGATACAGATACGTCATCAGCTGAGTCAGATGCTGGCTGAAGAAATCATCTGTAGAACAACAAATACTTCTTGATTCCAATATCCCTAGCTTCCAATACTCATCCGGTTACACTGAATTTCCCTGGCAAATATAATGCGGTACATACATTATTTGCTACCACCCGTCAACGTACATCTTAATACAGTACAATAACAGCAATATTTTGAGACCATCCCCAACTCAGGTGACATTTGCACCTGTGAGAATGCACAGGTGTAAGGTACTTACCTCAGGCTATAGGCCGTTTCTTCCATGCTTGACAATACACGAATAGGCTAAGTTTATCATTTTGCCTGGAAAGGTACCTTTGAGGCTGATCACAGTGTCAATTATGATAGGCTAGATTTGTTAGATTTACGTTATTTGTGATTCGTGATATTAAATGAAGCCGAAAAGGCAGTTTTAGCATTTCCGACAGTACTTTATGGGTTTTTTAAACAATAATCTGTGGATAACAATGTGTGACGTCATTTCCGCTCATGCCCCAACTACTGGTTGGTTGTCATTCGATTATATACAGGCATTCATTCACACACTCCTCCAGCTACAATTCGGAGCGTAACTCAGAACCTATAATTCCCTTGGAAGCGCCCGGCTAACACCAATCCAATACAGGTCATCTCGGCTCGCGTTGGGTGGAATCCATATTGGAACTGGATTCACTAGTTCACGTGACTATCACATTAGACAACACAATCTGGCAGCAGTCGTGACCCTTAGAACTATTACACGATATATTATGATAAGCCTATTTTATTTTAACCATACCAATTTTTTTTAAAAACTTGCCCCTCATGATGTGTATGTGTGAAGCCCATTACTTCATGAAGTCACACTCGGGTTCGATTTCCCACATGGGTACAATGTGTGAAGCCCATTTCTGGTGGCCCCCGCCGTAATATTACTGGAATATTGCTTATAGCGGCGTAAAAGCATACTCACTCACTCACTCATGAAGTAACATTCCGTATTATAAATGTCATAATAACTGCTAAAGCGGTGTAAACCCATTGTCACTCACCAATACCTGAATGTTGTCTTTTCCGTCACTGAGGCTTGATGAGATAACGATGATGCAGGAACCACTCTTAAATAAGATCCCTCCAACCTGTACCTGTATTTGCTCAATAAACGTTTCCCAACGTCCCCAATAGATTTAGATATGGAATGTTATGATGTGACAATATAAGGGCCGGTCGGGTAGCTTTGCGGTTAAAGCATTCGCTCGTCACGCCCGAGACCCGGGTTCGATTCCCGACGTGGGTACAATGTGTGAAGCCCGTTTCTTGTGTCCCCCGCCGTGATATTGACGGAATATTGCTAAAAGCGGCGTAAAATGAAACTCACTCACTCTGACAACATAAAATCAATATCTCACTCCAGCGAAAAAACACTTTACGTCAGAACTACCTTCAGTCTGCCTCAATGACACTACATGGTTTTCAGAGAAAGATTGTGAAGATCAGTTATAAAATAGATTGTTTGATAGGCATTACTTAGAAGTTGACGGATGACAAAGTAGACACAATTTATGGATAACAACTTCTTTAATACTGTAGAGACGACGCTTCGGTATAGATCCTTATACCGTTGTCAAGCAAGACCTCCAGTAAAATGTGTCTACCTTGTCATTTAGAAAATACATAATAAATAGAGGAATTATCTTTTCTGGTCCAATACATCGTTCTCTCATCTCGTGACCTGACGAAGTTGACATTTTCAAGACTTAATGAACTCAATGGTCGACATACACATGTTATTGACAAGAATATGCAAATATCATGTATGTATTGTGCTCGAATAATATCTTTTATTCCTAATATATGATATTTACGATACGGAAACATATTCGGTTAATAATGTATATGAACGAATAGGTATGAAACCCTTACGTTTACAGTTCTGTTCCTGTACACAGTTTCTTTTCTCTCTCAGAAAGAATTGTTTGATAGGCGTTTCTGAGAGGTTGGGGGATGACAAACGTAGACACAATTTATGGGTAATAATTTGACTGTAATAGCGACGTTTCGGTAAAATAGCGACTACAGTCTTGACAACAGTATAAGGATCTGTACAGCAACGTCGCTGTAATAGTACATTAAAGAAGAGGTCATCAATAAATTGTGTCTACTTTGTCTCTCAGAAAGGGTTTCACTAAAGGGGGTAACAGATTCAGATTCAGATTCTTTATTCTCCATAGACCACCGACGGTGGTACAAGAGCATACATAAAGTACAGAGATAATTATATATATACAAGAGCATACATAAAGTACAGAGATAAATATGTACATCAAGACGGCTGTGTGCCTTTAGATTTAGCATTCAAAGTGGTAAATACGAATAATACATATTTTGATAGACGTTTTAGCTCGTTTAGTTTGGTCGTTGAAAATAGGCTTTTCAATGAAAACGCATTTGACAAAGTTAAATATCTTCTAGGAATAAGTGCCAGTATTTTGTTATCAAAAGCTTGACATCGAAATATATAATGGAATTCATTTGTTATTGCTGGGGAGTTACAGAGTGAACATAGACGTTGTTCTCTGGGTACATTATTTCAGCGGCCAGTCTCGACTGGTAAATTGTGGTTATTAGTGCGACATTTTAAGAGCGGGTAATAAACAGATTTAAGTAGATGGAGATAGTTTTCAAATAATGGCATTTCTTTAAGATATTTATAATGGAAACCTTTCGAACTCGACAATATTGAATTTCTCCAGGATTGTAGAAAATGATCGGTCAATATTCTTTCCACAGACGAGACTAGCCACTTGGTGTTGAAATTACATGGCATATCGCCTACTTGGGTCAGGCCACAGGAGCTTAATAGACATTCTAGATTACACAACCAAGGGTGAATATTGGAGTTTACGTTAGCATCCATCCTTATGAATTGATGTATTAGAGTCGAAAACTTATTTTGTTGAGATCGTATAATATGTCTATGCCAAAAACCTATAATTCTCTTAGCTACTCTAATATTAAGGGGGGTCCTGCCTTATTCGCCATAGACCATAAAAGGAATTGAGGATTTCAAACCAGCCGCTAATTTAAGGAATTTTAAATGAACCTTTTCAACCATATTCAAACATTCAAATCCCCATACTTCGGCGCCGTACAGTAAGATTGGTAACACCATAACATCAAATGCATTAATAATACAAACGTTATGCAAGTACTGTAGCGTGTTTTGACAGCTGATACAACTAACGGCTGTCTGTTTCATTGTACATGCACTGACGAGCAATTAGCTACTGATTGCTCTTTCCAGAATTCCCGTTGTTAATTGACATCTGCCAGCTTAATGTTTTAAGGCGATTAGACGCCGTTACTTAATTAGCTGTAATATGCCAGTCTTATAGGGATTTAATTACATATAATGATGTAAATATTGTGAACAAATACAAAGGTACTGATACAATTGCTATCTTAAACACAAGTGATCAAAGAACTGAATGTATTTACTTAAATAGTTAACTTTAAGGTTTAACATATATCAGGGATTTAGGTGCTGTGCATGGACTGGAACGGTAATTAGAAGATAAAAAAGGATTCAAAGACAAAACGACATTGCGAGTGAACTAAGGTCTACAGTCGGAAACACTCGGCTAGTTACGACGTGCTCAACCCTGGCATACAATATCCGAGACTTTCGAAAATGTTCAACGAGTTGCGATTGCTGTAGGAAATGACCCCAAAATGTAAACAGTGTCAAGGTCATATTTATGAACGCGCGTGTTTTGACAGTCAGTGAGTCAGTTCGTGTGTACGCTGTCAGTACATTTAACAGCCGTCACCGTGATGGCACACATAAAGATTAGATCACAGTAGACAACAAGCCAGACCCGGATGCGATGGAAGACAAAATTTACATCCCAGTGAGCGGAGTGAAAGTTTCAGGTGAGACTGATGGTGGATGGCAATCCTCTCCATTTCTTCTCACGAGGGAAATATGGTGTCTTAATGTGGCGTTGGCTAAACATCAAGGATTTTGACAACATACATCAATATGACCCATAAATAGAGTGTGTTTTGATCCGAATGTCGTCACAGCCTGTTACCGGAACTTAATGAAATTGAAAGACCGAAGTGAAACTTCGACGGTACAGGGCCAATCAAAAATGTATCCCCGCTGTAATATATACTGGCCCGTCATCCCAATATACCTAAGGTATTTTACTAGACCTACCTACCACGTTGCCGTGGATGTCACCGAGTGTGGAACGTCGCCAAACATTCGTATCCCCAAGTAACACATAGATTTTCGAGCGGATGTCACCTTTTTCGAGACCTTAGAAGATAATCAGCTGCTTAGGCCTATTCACTTAGTGAATCACTAAAACTAACATTTAGTCTCTGAAATCTTATATTACACAATATCCTTCTTGACTCTAAAAAATTCCCTATGCTGATTTCAGAGCTAGCTTGAGCTTGCTCGACTTGCTTTTGTATGCATTTCTAGATTATTATTTTTTCGTAAAATAAATATATTCCACGGTCATGGTGCAGGACTAATTCACTAGCCGAGAGCTGCGATGGGGTCCTACAGTGAAGACATGACGATGTAACGTCATGTCTTGACTGTAGGCCCCCATCGTGGCTCACGGCTACGTATTCACCGCAATGGTAGAGATGGCTAGACTATATAGAGGATATTTGTTCTTTCTTAAAACTATCATATTTATCCCACTGAGGTAACATATGACAAGGTTGATAATTTCATAAGTATTCCTCAAGATATACATGTTATGTAACAAGAAAAGACAAACGCTCTATTTGTTATGTGTTTTACTGATCTTCACCATATTACTCTCAAAACAATAGTGTCAGAGCAGTCTGAAAGTAGTTGCAGCATTATGTGTTGTTACACAAGAGTGAGATATCAGTTATTTGTACTCAGATGAATGCAGTAGTTCACACGAAATACATAAAAAATCATACTGATAGTGCTTCAAGTAAAGATCTATAATCATGCTACATCTTTTCTAAACTGGGGCTTCAGCTACACGGTATAGTGGTTAAGTTGCAGTGAAACTTGTTCAGTAAAACACCAGTTGACAAAATCAGAAAAATAGTTTTTGACTAGATTCAGTGTTTGAATGCTCATTTCAAGACAGTTTAATCATATCATATATAATTACTTTTTTTACCAAGACGAATCAGAACTTTGATATCACAAAGTAATCATTTAAAGTATGTTTGTTTGATGTTTAACTCCGCACTCACCAATATTCAAGCTATATGATGGCGTCTGTAAACAGCTGGTAAATAATCAAGTCTGGACCTGACAATCTAGTGATTGACATGATGAGCATCGATCCACGCAATTGGGATACGAGGACATGCATCAACCAAGTCAGCGAGCCTGACCACCCTATCCCGTTAGTTGCCTCTTATGACAAGCATATAGTCACCTTTTACGGCAAGCATGGGTTGCTGAAGACCTATTCTACCCCGGATCTTCAGGGGTCATTTTCAAGGATGACATTGACATGGTGTCATTTTTTTTTCCAAAGGCATTGCTTGTATTTTATTCCCAGTTCTTATTTTCAGATTTGTTTGATTGGTCAGACCCTGTACAGAAGTGTAGACAAAAGACAGTTGTTGTGCAGCGAGGTCTCATGAGGCAGACCAGTCAGACTGGATCTGTTGTTGAGTGTAATGACGAGAAGATTGCCCTGTTCAGATACCATCGGCAGGTGTACGCCATCAGGGAACGGTGCCCACATGCAGGTAACTAGTTAACAGTATCGATAATATCTGCAAAAGTATTGTCAGTATTCATTTTGCTTATGTACACTCCGTGGAGGAATGTAGTGTGTACACAAGGTCCTGAAGTATTGGCGATGCTGGAACACATGAAACAATAAGAATTGCAAAGATTGCTACCATATTCGACGTAATCAGCGCCCCACTCTAATAAGCGCCCACGGCGATATTTGCTGATATATTGGCCAGTGAACAATCCCAATTAGCGCTCCTTCCAATTGATCAATGTACACAAGACTTATTTATTCGCGTATAATACGCACTCGTGTGTTATATGCATTCTTAATTATGGGCAATTAAATTCTGGATAAATGTATCTGTCGCATATAAACATTTCAGTGTGTCAGTATAAACCACAAAATTTATCTTTCAACTCTCTTTTTTCCACCAAAATAATATTCTAATAAGAGCCCCCTATTTCTAATTTTGAGAGCGCCTTGGGCGCTTGTTACGTTGAATACGGTATTTGAATTAACTTAGCACCCATCCTTAAGTGAATTTGCTGTCCCTTCGACTTAAGTTGATGCAATAGATGCAATCCAAGTAGGCTTAAGGTATTTTCAGACAATTTTCCATTTAAATAACGAAATCATTCCAGAGAGACTTTTTTGTATCATATGGATTTTATTAGTCATATGACAAACTGCCCTGTTGAACACTTACCAATACATAAAATTATACACTTAATTAATATTTAATTGAAAATTAAGTCTCAAATAAGACCATGAGAATCAATATTGGCAGTATGGTTTTCTGCTTGTCTCTGCTAGTTGACATGAACATAGTCAGAAAATACTTTTCGCTTGCTTGGATAGCAGTTTTCCTTATATTGTACGAGCCCACACGCTACACTTGGTTGATAGGGTGAATGTCAAAGCCTGTAATACTGGACACAGATGGACTTGAATATAAAATGGGTGACAAAATCAAAACAGAACCATGGAGAAGGAATCATGGAGGGGAATATTCTTATTTAACTGTCAACAGATCAGTTATTTGTTTGTTGGGTGTTTAATTCATCAGGGATTGAAGGTCCAAGTGAGTAAGGCATAATGGCAAGTATGTTGTTTGTCGTTTGTCTGTGTGCAAGCCTATACATAGTATGTCCATCTATTCATTTTCAACCTCCCATCTGAACAAGCTGAAGAGATGAAGCTGAAACTTTTGGAGCATGTCTAGAATCATAAAGGGTCTTATATTTGTTCATGGTGTTGAAATAAAATATACTTCAAATTGTGAAAAAGCCTCTTCTTTTCAGACACCACAAGGTCTAGGAATCAGAAACATTCATAAGAAGTGTAGTAATACAATCAGAATCAGATTTGTTACTGCCAATAAAATAACAAATACTTTTTAAAAAAAAAGAAAGAAACTCTTTAAAACATGTCTTAAACACTGATTTCTCCCATGTTCACAGGTGGCCCCCTCCACTTGGGGGACATTGAGGATCTACCCGGGGGAGGGTTGTGTGTCCGCTGTCCCTGGCATAGTTGGCAATTTGACCTTGACACTGGACAGGTCAAGATGCCCAAAGGAAGAAAAGTAACTGCCCAAGTGTTCCCAGTGAGAGTAAAACCTGATGGCAGTTTGTTGATTGGTTTTGATAAATTTGCAGATGTCTATTTCAGTATTGAAACAGAGTTTTAATGCTGCAATTTGTTAGTGCTGTATTCGATTGATCACCATTCATTTGTTTACTATATTCATTCGAGGCATTTACTTGATGATACCAGTATTTTTAGTCTATTCTATGTTTTCACCAGTTTTCTGGATAAGGGCAGATGTGATAATTTTTTAGGGCTGCAAATGAATGATATTTGGTCAAGTTGCTGGAAACGCATATATATATTTCACCTGGCATACTGATGATTGTGTTATCAATCTGTGGAAGTGGTCTACTATATTTCACGATAGAATTTGACTACAAGACAAGTATTATCTTAAACATTTCCTAAAATCCTGTTTATTGTGTTTGTTGGATGCTAAACCGTCACAAGATGTCGAGGTTGGATGACTCACAGTCAATAAAGTCTCCGAGCCTGACCACCATCTGGAGATTAGATAATTATTCACTTACAGCTGCAAAACCAGGATTTTCTTCATTAAAATTATGAGCCTGAATATTATTTTAAGAAAAACACCTTGCAACAATGTAATTTAAGTTTTTTCTTTCAACAGTCTGAGGTATAGTTATTTTTTTCAAGAATTTTCTAGGATAATTTTGTGTGTGGATATAGTCCCAACCCCTCTAACATTCAGTTATGTTAAATGGTCGGTCCCTAACCTGGAATCCCCATGATGGCCTATTTGATATTCATGCAGCAACTTCATAACTTAACATTAATAGATGTTTAGAATTAGTTTTTTATTGATGGTGCTTCACAATATGTTAATGTGTTACAATGTCTTAAAATTTATTGATATTGATATTATTACCAGCAGTGCTGGATGTGAACGTAATTCTAATTTTTCAAAAAAACATACATTGTTCAACTGAAGACTCTCCAGATGGACTGCACAGTCACCCAGGGTGCCACAACTTTGTGCCCCTTACCTTCAACAGCTTGCCTTGCAAGTGTGTCCCTTTGCAGGAAGGACTTTCGGATCATGGATACAAAGGCCAGATTGCCCAGATCATGATCCTTGGTCTGACAACAGCATTCCTGTGCTTGTTGGTTTCACCAAAGTGGTAAATGTTAAAGAATTATATCCTGATATCAATTTAAGGCTTTTCTCCCAATTTTTTTCATATTGCTAAAGGTCATCTAAGGAGCTGCTATTCACTTTGTCAAGTTGTGTCCCTCTTGCATGCTGGAAATCCTGGTTTTCCCTACCTATGGGTCCAGGTTTGTCAGCACCATACCCGTGCTCCTCGGTTTCACCTATGTGGTAAAGGTCTGAGACCTGCATCACCTCGGTCTTTCCTTCCACATTAAGCTGACATGCTGTGATATAACTGGAATACTGTTGAAAGCGGTGTTAAACTTAACTCACTCTCTTCTACATATTACTGAAATACAGTTCAAAAGGCTTTCGCTTTTACTCATAACTCATTTTGATAATAAATTATCTCACATTGTTTAATGGCTATCATTTCTGAAAGATGATAAGATATTTTGCTTGGGAAATGTAAGTTTTTTGGTGAACTGACCTTGACCTCTAGTCTTTGAATATACCTCATGCTGATGCTGTGGTGTACAGTTTTCTTTGTTTTATGTTTTTACTCTCAGTTCTATTTCGCTCACACACAAAAGTTTCTCTTACACATGGGTGTATTTAGATGCCATGTTGGTCAGGATGAAGAAATTATTTATTAATATTGTGACATTGATAGTTACGGGTACTGACCTTGATGAAACTATATATATAGTTTGTATATGTGTTTTATGCTAATTTATTATGAAATGACCCTTGATTATAAATAGAAATATGTAATGGATGGATGCCGTAATATTACATATTACAAGTATTCTTTTGTATACCATATCATGTTATTTGAACACATTATTTGCGCTGTCACAATTAAAGTTCCTATGCTGAGGAACATTGACAGAAATTATTATATTCTTGAAAGTTACAGTGAGCAGCAAAACCTGGTCATCTTGGTACTATACTGCTTCCTTTTATCAGTTATTGTTTCATTTATTTACAGCCAATATATTTTTAGTACATCTGTCTTCGTTTTATGAGAAACATTTATCAAAATATTGTCAAGATAAATCTTTTTTTACGTTAGTGAAATTACATGATTTTTTACTTTTTTAAAATTGTTGTTACATATTAGACTGTTAAATATACATGAGATGTTACGACCTTTTACAGTAGTGAAGAGGCTGTGCCAATCATTTTTAGTTAACATACCTTTAGAATTGGATTTATGATTGAAATTCAAGAACCAGATAGCATAAATGAGAGAGTTGTATTAAGGGTTTTGGTGTGTTTATCAATGTGATGATCTATGTACATATATATGTTATTTAGTCATGACCTGGGTTTGTCCCTCATATGGGTATCCAGAATAAAATTGATATAAAAGTGAATTAAAAATTGTCTGGAATAACTTTGTCTCTTGTTTCTATTATTGGGATAGAATCAAGAAAATTATGCTGTGTTGAAGAAGTTCTTCCTGGAAAGATTGCTTGGTTGTCCCAGCTGTCTGCCATGCTGGAGTTCCATCCCTTAGATGCGCAAAGGTTTGAATCCATAGGGGATGTGATCCTTGGTTTGTTAGCACCATATATACTCACCACCAAAAGAACGCGAACCAAAGAAACATATAGAGAAGTATCTAAATAAAGAAGAGATGTTTCCAATGTGTACCACCTAATGACAAAACTAACAATCAGTCAAGTGTTACAACAGAGTGTCCTTATTCTTGTCACAATATGCTGCAGGTGATTTCCAAACTTTACAGCTAATCCTGCACAAGACAAATAGTGCATCTCTAGTTATGCATCTATGATGTCACATGTGTTGTGTTCATGAACGTCGGTTCATGCAAAATAACAGTATCTTGGTTTGTGCATCAACCAATCTAGTATCTCTTGAATGTGAGTTATTCTTCACATATTAACCAACATGTATGTTTTTCACATTTCTTTTGGCGGTGAGTATACATGTTTATGGGCTGTAATACAGTGTCTAAGATGGTAAGTTTCTCCTACTGGAGTCAGTTTTTGTTTTCCTCGAACATTAAGCAGACAAGTCGTGATATGACTGAATTACTGTTCAAAAGGCTTTGACTAATCTCACTAGCTCCTACTGAAAGGGATCCGTGAAGATCTGGGTAAGAATAGGTCTTCAGCAACCCATGCTTGCCGTAAAAGGCGACTTTGCGTGTCCTAAGAGCTGACTAAGGGATCGGGTGGTTAGGGTCACTGACTTGGTTGATGCATCTCATCATCCGAATTTCGTGGATCGATGCTCATGATGTCAATCACTGGACTGTCTGGCCCAGACTCAGTTATTTACAGACCGCCGTCATATAGCTGGAATGTTGCCGAGTGCGGCGTTAAACTTACAAACAAACAAACAAACAAACCTACTTAAAGGCAGAACTCATGGACGTGTACACCATCCACGGGTCAACATGACGTGAAGCGCTCGTATAATACCACTAACTATAATTTCGGGTTTCTGTGTGTTGGGATCGCTGTGGTACACGACATCGTTTACAGCTTAAATGATTCTTGATATTCATCTTAAAACGCACAACGCTTTGCCGACAAAAAACAGCCAAATGAGACGAGACAGACATGTCCATCTGTAAGTTCCAATAGCGTCCTGAATCCATTTGCGTGTGTGCGTGCGTGCATGCATGTGTGCGCTTGTACCTGTCCGGACTTAAGTCGGTTTTATAGTAGTAGCCCACTGAGATATAAATTTGATAGTGCTAGCCCACTGAGATATAGAATTTATAGTGCTAGCCCACTGAGATGGATACGACACCCAGACACTGTATACCAGCATCGCGCTGACCAGGGTGCTGTTGTACAGAACAACCTTATCACTACGACTGTCGTAAGTCTATGTTAAGGTATGGGAGTTACGATCAGCTTAGCGTTAAGATATCGCTTTGTACAACGGCACCCAGTCTTTGATTTATCCCCTAAATGTCTAGCGCCTGGCATGGTCACAACAAGAACCATCGTTTAACGCCTGTTGGTATGACACGGCCAGGGGGTCGAACCTCCGACCTGTCGCACTCTGGGAAAACACTCTATCCACTAGACCCGCGGAGGTGGTCACCATTGTCCTCTCTCATAACGCTGAAGATTGTCCATGTGACGGAGGCTAACTGACTGGCACGTCGGCTTTCGTTCGTATCGAATGATGGTACCAAGACTTCGAATTAGTCGGCCCTTCCTGTACAAGAACTAGAATATCCACATAAATTATTATGTATTATGTACAGGAATATTAAGTGGACAGACTATTGCAGTTCTTCGCAGCTTCCAACTGAACTGATGACAAGATAATAAAGGTGATCTTGATCCGCCCGCCTCTAGAATCGCCCGCGACTAATTTAAGTTTTAATGACTGTTAAGAGACGATATTTTCTTCTCAAATGTTTGCAGAAGATCTCATCTTGTTCATAGCATCAAAGTAATGGAGTAGGGCAGGGACGGGTAACTCCGATACTCGGGTCCGGTTGGTACTGAGCAGGACCCGGGTACCCACAGGACTACCCGGACTAATGTTCCCATTTCTTTCTGACTATGCACGCATTCCTTCTGACTTTTATATTTTTGAAAAAAAGATAAAACTTCATGCAGTAAACATCAGTGCATATGCATGACCAGATCGTTTTATACGTGTATCTAAATACATTTTGCCAGGACTACGGTCAAACTTTTTCCCAATCGGACAGTTTGTACCTATCTCTTGAGACCTACAGCGGGTACCCGGGTAGGGTCGGGTAATAGCGGGGTGGGTACCTGGTAGTAAATTTTGACTCGTCCCAGCCCGATAATGGAGTCACCATGGCCTTAGGCCCATCTCTTTCAATACTTCGACCCGTGATGATCCGGGTTAGAATTGGTCTTCAGCAGACCCTGCTTGTCGTAAAAGGTGCAGCGACTATGATTGTCGTAAGAGGCGACTAACGGCAGCGGGTGGTCAGGCTCGCTGACTTGGTTGAAGCGTGTCATCGTATCGATTTAGATCGACCCTAAATAACTGGATTTTCTTGTCCAGAGTCGATTATTAAATGCCGCCGTCATATAGCTGGAATATTGCTTAATGAAGCTTTAATCAACAACCATTCAATCGTCTTACATCGAACCACATGGGCATAACTATATTTATAGGTCACGTGGTTTAGAATCAAGATTACTGCCTTTGTTTAATGAAATAAACAAAAAGTCCTTCCTCCCTAACCCAATCAGTTTTAAAAAATAGTCATTAGAAACAAGTTTTTCAACCGGATTAACATACAACATGGCTAAATCCAATAAGCCGACGCTCAAAAGCACAGATTGTCCCACTGTTTGGTAACCCCACCTTAACCTGCACAAGGTATAATCTCGCCACATGGCCACTAATCGTGTCAACGAAACACCTCATTGATTCTCAAGCAGTTTGTTACGTCTGGCTAGAATCTCCGCCCTAATCCGCTAGGCGTTTCTAAGGAGCCCATTGTCTCTGATGTCTAACAAACTAGCCAAACCTGCTCTGGTTACCTCCCGTTTCTATACAATATAATACCATATTATAACACTGTACTGTTCAGTACTGCCGTGTAATTATCGTACAATCACAACCCAAGATCACCTGTGACAGAATACAGGGTGGTTGTCTGACGGGAGTTGTGGTCGCGAGGAGCGTATGGTTGGATATTGTCTCTGCAAAGTTTTGCAGGAATTTAAAGAACCTTTTTAACCTGTTAACGGATGGCTGGAATTGATGTGAAACCAGTGTCGTCCAGCGCGGACTTTTTGGACAACACCAGGCCCATCATTAACGCCAAGTATGTATACCGCCTTTAAATATATACAGATAACAATATCAATAGACGCTAGAAATACAGGTGTTGACGTTTAAGGTGACTTGTCGAGTAAGTAAAATGTTAAATTTACGATATAGACAAATGAAGTACTGTTTATGACTTTTAACTGTGGTTGCTAAGGGACCGCTTGAAATTCCGTTTCCAATGACTGTAAAATAACATGACGAAAACATCTAGTCAAGACTGAACACACTGAAAAATGCTTTAGCCAAGGTCATGGAATATAAACGTAAACAAAGGTTGTCTGTGGATTAGTGTAGAATGAAAAACAGGTTTATACTTGAGTTTGTATACATAGACTGCCGGGGAAAGAAAGTATATACTTAAACATGTAAACTTCACTCTGTTCATTACTGTGTAATTTGACCTCCATGTTCCTTGTTGCGAGATACTCATTGATATGAGGGGGCACGGGTGGCCCAGTCGTCAAAGGCGCCGCGATTCGCTGTGCACGCCAGAAACCAATGATTGTGGGTTCGAATCCCGGTTCGCCCCGATTATGTTTCTAGATTTGTCAGCACCATACCCGTGCTCGTGGGTTTCACCGAAGTTGTAAACGTCTAAAACACGCATTACTTCGGGCTGTCCTCCCACATTAAGCTGACACGCCGCGATATAACTGGAATACTGTTAAAAGCGGCGTTAAACCCAACTGACTCACTCATTGATATGATGGATGTATATCGCCTATGACACCCGTATCAGTTACATCGCCATAACATTTCATTTTTAGCCACTGTCAAACATTGGTTTATATTTCTGTGGCCCTGCAGTTTTTCTAAAAAATTATTGTTTTTTTTTATCATAAATGTAAATAATATGATTCGGTAATAAGGGATTTCATATTTGTATCAACGTTCAAGTCTTTTATGATTATCGTAAACGTTGACACTTTGCGGTAAAAATATTTAGACATAGACATATTATATCCGTATTTATACAAGCAATATAATATGAGGGCATTATCAAGCAACAGTGATCCGCTCATTTCTGGTAACACGCGGGCGGTTTAATGATAATTCTATCCATTTTAGCTATAATATTTAATTACACATCCACTCAAGTTATTATCTTTATCTAAACAGCCCCTTATCCATTCAAAGCAATATTCTGAGTAAATCATGTTTGAGGTCAACAGGTCTACAAGTAGATCACGACCAACATTGTCAGTATTATATCATAAATCTGGCACTTGGTTTCCAAACCCACCCTTCGTGAATTACAAACCATGGTCGTCGAGTACCCTTGTATAAGTTACATACACACTTTAGCGGGTTAAGTTCATTGGGTCTTTACGTAGGGATATAAACACAGCCTGCATGAGTGTATAAACTAATAGCTAGTCACCCCCCGGTTGAACGTTCGAGTGTTGGCAGTTTGGTTTGTATTACGTAATTAAACATAAACTCTGAACTATTTGAGCTAATTATAAGGATATATGAGAACCGCAAATCTACGTTTAAGTATTGGAATTACGACGAGACGGAGTTACGGTAGATTTTGAGATTAACAACAGTATTACCTTTACGGTAAGCAGCGAATATGCTTGTCGTAAGAGGCGACTAACGGGATCGGGTGGTCAGGCTCGCTCACATGGTTGATGCATGTCATCGTATTCCTGTTACGTAGATCGATGCTCATGATGTCAGTCACTAAATTGTCTAGTCCGGACTCGAGTGTTTACAGACCGCCGTCATATTGCTAGACTGCAGCGTTAAACAAGAAAGAAAGAAAGATATGATTGCCTTGGGTCTATTTTAGGCAATCGGAGTTTACAACAGTACTATTACAGTACGAGGATTACGTACGAAGGTTGCGATTGAGTGGTTCGTAAGTTACGACAGTCTAGGCCAGTGCTCAAGTGTTGGAATTACGATTGCCTTGTAGCTACTTTTAAAAAAAGTAGGGCCATCTTCTAGTATGGGGGTTGATACCAGTATTCGCAAGAAGCTCCTGCCAATAGGCCTGTGGCAGGTATATCTTACGTTAGGCCCGTAGTTTCCCATTTGTATGGGCCCTTATGGCCTGCAGTAAATTTGTGTGTGAAATTATTTGTTGCAATAAGCTGCAGTTTTTTTAATCAACGCCTGACGAGTTGAGGGCCTATGGGTCCCGATGGCAGCCTGGTCATATTTTTTTTATTTCAAACATAATTTTTGACAATTAGACAATTTGTGAGTGCTAATATAAGATCGCTTGAAGCGGACACCACATTCCTTTTCCCCTTGGCGATTCCGGCTTAGAACAGGCAGTCGAACAACCTACGCCTGTTGAACGGAGGGCACTAAATAGAGCGGGTGGCCAGGTTTGGTAACTTGGCTGATTGTGTGTGATCATATCCTTAACTGGGGGATCGTTGCCCATGATATCAATAACCGGTTTGTCTGGTCCAAACTTAATATCTACAGATCGCTGTCATATAGCTGGAATTTTGCCGAGTGCAGTATTAAACAAACAGCCGAATGTTGAACAATTCCTCATACATACATACATACATACATACATACATACATACATATACACACACACACCCACCCACCCACCCACACACACACATATATATATATATTATATATATATATATATATATATATATATATATATATATATATATATATATATATATATATATATCATCAGAGTGCCCTCTTCCATATCGGACAGTGGCGTTGTACCTGGAAACTCCACACAGGTAAATAGTCAAGCGTTCGCTCGTTTCCAGTGCTCACATTGATTCAATGTATAGCAAGCTCCCGACAGGGCCCGAAATCGATTCCTTCCATTGAAACTGTCGTCTGCACTCACGCGACTGACAAGTGGCGCAGGGGTGATCTTGATAAGCATGTTATGGAGTCGACAGGTGTCTATAGATATATGGCAGACTTTCCGTCAATCGACAGTTTCGGAACGGGTCTAGATCATTTGGTGCACGACAGGTAAGTGAGCGTCGGGTGGTGAGTATAGGGGGAAAACGGATTGCACGGGAGGATCACAGAGCATAGCAATCATGAAAAGGCTCCACGTACCCATAAATAATTCGGGAACGACAGAGCATTGGGACGTCCCAATATACTAATATTTATCATACGCTGTTTTGGAGGGGAAGGTGTGAGTGTCGCTGTGGATTTTACAGGATTGCGCGTTTGGGGTCAGGTTGGACGTTCATGGCGTACGCAGGTCTAGTTAGCCATGTATGAATATTAAACTAAACGACGGTCATGCATGGGTGAAAATGTCCGATTATTCAAACAGTTTGGTTCATGGGATCGGGTAAGAGGAAGAATTAACCCGTTGAAAGGTCAATACTCAAGTACGTTCGATGACAAAATCTACGCCATGGAACCAGGGCTGAACAATATTTAAGCTGAGCCGTTTTAACAGTTGAGATGATCGACCACAGTATCATCCAGGTTGCACGTGAGATTGATGGCCATATGCGTTTTTGTAAATCGAGAATTATAAATGTATTTTTGTGAAGTGTTGCAAATAAATATTGTTTTACTAGTAGTTGCCAAAATTGGCAAATTTTGATGGGAAGAAATCGGAGAAAATTTGATCATTCTGATTTGAAGTCAAACAGGATAATGCGCATCCATAACGATTAAGAATACCCCTGTTAGGCTTGACGTCAAAATATAAATAGCTGATATGTAAGCACGTTTTTACAACTAAAATAGTAACTGTATATATAAGTATATTCACTGTTTAGCATGAAATTATTTGGCTATCTGTCTTTATGTCACCTTAATCTATCACATATCGTGTTTTACAGATATTAATGCACGTGTGTATGCGTGCAAAGTTCTTTTCATATTGAAAGGTTTCCGTTTAGGCATTTTTAAAAGTAATTACACTTTCTGCATCGTAACACCTTCAACAATAGGACAACCAGCAGCAATGTGTTATATATGCTTAAATATTTAAACGGGTAGCATCGAGACGACCTACTTACCGAACCTGTTATTGATTTTCTTGATCCACACGTCATTAAATATACAGACAGCTTACTAACCTAAGCTGGGGTGTGACGCCCCGTGTCAGCCTGGCCTAGGTGTCTATATAAACACGCAATTTAAAGGGGGACTATATGCTTTCTGCCCTGGTTGTCTATATAAACAGACGGATTGAAGGATTGAAACGCAAGTTGCCCAACCTGACAATCATAATGGTTGTTGGGGACCTATATTTATATCTGGAATGCCCATTGATGTCATTCGTGAAACTGTAGTTAGGGTAATCGTCAGCTACTGGATTGATACACATCCTAACATGTGAATTAGCAGACATGGTCTTGAATGACTTCAGTGAAACTTGCTTGGATTGACTATTTATCCAAGCCTAGCTATAGCTTTAACGCGACGAAATGTGAAACCACAGCGAAGGTGTTATGGTACTTTTGTCAGCGTAAATCGGCTTTAATACATATTCATTCCATTATTGTAACCTGTACGTTAAGAGTGAGTGAGTATGGTTTTACGCCGCTTTTAGCAATATTCCAGCAATATCACGGCGGGGAACACCAGATAGGGCTTCACACATTGTACCCATGTCGGGAATCGAACGCGGGTCTTCGGCGTGACGAGCGAACGCTTAAACCACTAGGCTACCCGACCGCCCCTGTACGTTAAGACGTTTGAAACTTCATGCAGTGTTAGAGTAAAGCGAGCCCACACGTTGCACCTTTTAAAACATTAATATATGTTTGAGTTCAAGTCTCTCAACCGTTTTGAGGTTTCGCCATATTTATAGTATACCCGACCCTTTCTAAAGCAAGACAACATGTCTGTGAGTTTGTCTTCATTCAAATACACCATTTTTGTATATTTTGATAAAATATCCCAAATATGTGTTTAGTGTGTTCTCTGTCATTCAAAGACGCCATTTGTATATTTTTAGATAAATAACCCGCAGTGGTTATTTTTTTGTCAACATATTCCGCGATTTATTTTATATACACGAAGTTTTGTTTGTGTGTTGTTTAACGCCGCACTCAGCAATATTCCAGCCATATGACGGCGGTCTGTTAATAATCGAGTCTGGACCAGACAATCCAGTGATTGACATCATGAACATCGATCCACGCAATTGGGATACGATGATATACATCAACCAAGTCACGAGCCTGACCACCCGATCCCGTTTGTCGCCTCTTACGACAAGCATAGTCGCCTTTCATATAGCTGGAATATTGTTGAGTGCGGCGTTAAACAACATACCAACAACAACAACGGCAAGCATGGGTTGCTGAAGACCTATTCTACCCCGGATCTTCACGGGTCATATACATGAAGTACACATATGCTATAAACTCGCCGTGTGAGAAATCACTGGGAGGTAGCATGAACCTCTGGCATACAGTACACCCTTCACCGAGACCCTAACAACGCGCCGTTGGTCTAATTCCACCCCGATCGAAGCACTGCTTTTTAATCTCCGTTGCCACATGCTTAAACTAATCGTTTGGGGCTTGCTATAATGCCCTCTATGTTCAAGCTCTTGCTGTATGGTTGAACCACAACTTAAGAACGCATTACAAAGAGATTATCGTGGGAATATAGGCCCTGAACCAGCTCCTTCACACGTACGTAGAGGTTGTTTCTCATAACGTATTACAGTGAAACTCCGGTACTCCGGACCCCGTCCCTGAATCCCTGCTTACTGGTCAATTCCTGTTGGGATAAAGGAATCTAAAGAGATATAACAGTGTACATGTATGCTTCGTTAATCCTGAAACTTGCCAATACATACCATTTCACCTGGAACGATACCGTCCGGATTAACAAGGTGTCACTTTACTTGGTACTCTTTCAATATATACTTTTCTGTGTTCGCACGGAACTTTAATTAAACTAGCTGTGTAAAATGTTTAACCTGTTACCTGCATACTATTGTTCATACCATGTATACAATACAATCTCGTTGTATTATCAACAGTCATTATTCTTTATAGTTCAAATCACTATGTAGTTTGAATAGACATGATTTAATGTGTAACTTGATATTGCTCAACCGCCAGTTTTACAGCAATTAGCGGCCATAAGTTGAATTGTTTGAGGTTACTACAATTCATTGTTAAGTCAATGCTAAGCTCTATGAAATGAGTCACTTGTCATTACAATAACTGGTGCAACACGGACTTGAAGCTGCGTTTAAATTGTGAAACACTCAAAATATTAATTACATAACATTTCCCGACGGGATCGAGTATATGTAGTATTGTACAACTTATAATAATAGTCATATTAACAGTGAACCAGTACTGTCATAGGTTGATATTATGATATTATATGCATCATTTCCTATATATTTCCATATTAGAATAGCCATTTTATACAATCGTATCTGTATTTTGCGTTCTAACGAAACAAATTCGTTTTCATTTTCAAACTACGCATATTGACATATGTAAACAAGAATCGTTTATCTTATGATATGATTCAAAACTCCTCCATGGCAGTATTTATTTGACTACCCTTTTTAATTGCTTCTCTGCTGAGGGCTTGCAACCATTTGGGGAAAATACAATGCCCTTGTACCAACTTTTAAGGAGGCATCAGTTTCTTTGATATTTACCCAAACAGATCAATGTCACTATTTCGAAACTACATGGAAGTTTGGGATATATAAGAAGCAGGATGTGATTCAAGCTGTTAATCTAGAAAAGTAAATCAAACAAAATTTGTGTCGCTGGTTCCGTACGATACTCAAGTGAGAAACTGCGATTGTTATCTGACGTCACCAATTTCCCAAACGTATCAAGTTGCGTATCTATGACGTCAAGCGATTGTTGATCTTCGACTGCTCCTGCACAAGCGTTTTCTCAAGGTACCGCTGACACTTGTGTTCTCATTAGCTTAAAGGTCTGAACTAAAGTTTGTTTTAAATGTGTGCGGAATATGTAAAAAATGACGGATGTAGTGACTGATCTTCGCTTGATGTAGTACCTACGTATATCACAAGGGCACTGATCGAAATAACGGGGATACTGTGAAGTGCTTCAGAAGTAAGGTGAATATAGATTTGTTTCATACGTTAAAACCTATTCTGATTGAAGTTCATCACATTTCACGAAAAGCATGCCTGAGATAAACAATCGTTGTCCCAATATATCACGGTATCTCGTCACTCTGGGGTTATTTATCACAAATTCTTTCGGAAAGTTAAGATTTCATAACAATTTTGAACATACAATTTCTATGTTCACAAGTGATCATTCAGACTATGACTGTGTACAAAATTAAAGCCTTTGGACACATATAAGGCACAAATCCCATCAAGTTTAACTTGCACCCAAATACCTGTTCCCTGATATTGTAACAAACGATGTTAAAGTTGGAATGCATCAATTTCAACAATGGTATACAAGATCTGTGATATATCTGTCCATTTTCCAGGGGTTGCCATTACATTAACACCTCTGGATGATGATGATGATGATGATGATGATGATGATGGAGATTTAACGAGAGCTTCCGATATCGAGAATCAGACTCTATTTTATTACTATTACATAAAGGTAATATTTCATAGGTGGATCCAGAGGGCCCGGACCCCCACCCCACCCTCCCACAAAATTTTGAAACCCAAATGTGGTAGGCTGTAGGGAGAGGATTTGATATTTTGACCTCCCACCCCCCTTTTAAAAATTCTGGATCCGCCATTGTATTTATATACATGATGTAATAAAATGGAGTCCAGCTGTATGCACGGCGGCTTGTAAATACGAGTCTGGACCAGGTAAACCAAATCTTGAGTGATGACCCACGAGCACGACGACAAGCAATCAGCCAAATCACAGATCATGGCCACACGATCCACTTTAGTTACTCTTACAACCAGCAATGGGGTGCTGAGCTGATGACCTATTTTAAGCTGGTGCCCATGAACCCGTATTTTCCGCGTGACCACTACACCACTCGCCACTGGACCAACCTTCAGAATGTGACTAAATAACTCCATCTCACGCCTATGCTTCATGTTTCAGGACCACGTACACTTCTATGAACGAGTGGAGAGACATGGTCCACGAGGGGGGCGTGGCACACCCGGTCGTCCCCCAAACCCTCACAGACGCCAGATGGAGTCATTTGAAAGATGTAAGAATGTTTGTGTTTGTTTATGGTGTTTCTGTCAGTCTTAGATATCATATGTTACGATGTCTTAAGCCATGCTAAAGCTGTTCAATGGAGATGGGCTCGCCTAATGGCTGAAGACTTGGCGCATCACGCTGAACACCAGCAGGGTTTAACTTCGCCCCAGGGGTACACGATGTGAAGCCCGTGATATGGCTTGAATATTGCTAAAAGCGGCGTAAACCCATCTTCTCGAGGCAAGGGAGTTATATTTTGGCTGGACTAACCAGTCTATGCATAGTCCAAAATCGCGTGACGAAATCGACATCCGTGCCGTGCAGATTTCGGTCGATTGCAAGACCTGTTTTATCATAATATAGATTTTGATCATCGATCAGATCGTCTGTACTGGGCGCCGCCATTTTGTGTGAAGTAAATGTAAGTGATATGAGAGGTGGAATCTGATTGGTCAGTAAGAGGGACATAGAAGGGACATAACTCGTAATAGCCACTGATAGCGCTACTATCGAGCCCAGAAATTGACTGGTTCGGCATGTGTGGAAACTGGACTTTAAAGTCAGTTAACTGCCTTGCCTTGGGAACATGCGTAAACCCAACTCACTCACTCACCCAATTTCCTTAGGACTGCAGAGTTTTGACTTGCGTTTGTTTTCTCAAATGTGGAATAGCGTTCACTCGTCACATCAAAGACCGTTCGATTATTATATGGGTGCAAAGTGCTAAGATCCGGTATGAGAATTGGTTTCAGCAACCCATGCTTGTCGTATTAAAGAGGCGACTAACGGGATCGGGTGGTCATCCTCGCTGTCTTGGTTGATGCATCGTATCTCAACTGGGTAGACCGATGCTCATGGTGTCAGTCTCTGGATTGCCTGGTTCAGACTCGATTATTTACAGACCGCCATCTTATAGCCTAGTGGTTAAAGCGTTCGCTCGTCACGCTGAAGACCCGGGTTCGATTTCGATTCCCGACATGGGTACAATGTGTGAAGCCTATTTCTGGTGTCCCCCGCCGTGGTATTGCTGGAATATTGCTAAAAGCGGCGTTAAACCCAACTCACTCACTCACTCTAAATACGGGGTAAAACCACACCCACCCATTCATTATCATTTGACTGCTTTCTTGCTGATTACACCATGTGCGTGAAATCAGTTCATTGCGCTTTAAATGAAACCCGGGATGACGTAACCCAGTGTCCTCCTCCACACACAGATGGACTCCGAGAGACGCAAGAACATGGGGCAGAAGGCCCAATTGGAGTTCAGACGCGCCTACAGTGATCTCACCTCTAAGATAGCCTACATTCACCCTAACCCAGGTCTACCCAGGTGAGTACCTAAAAAAGGGATTGTATTACACTGTCTGAAGCTCATGTCTTGTCCATATGCCTAGGGGGGCACGGGTGGCCTAGTCGTCTAAGGCGCCGCCATTCGCTGTGCAGATTTGCGTCCCTTGGACACGCCAGAAACCTATGATTGCGCTCAAGAGCATTTAACTTTCTAAAATTTCTTGGTAAGCTTGCCCCCAAACGTTCCAAGCGGGTCCTCGTAAAGTTGGTTTGGCTTGTAAAACACTTAAAATCAGCCTAGTTGCGCCCCTGCCCGCTGGTCCCAGCAACCCGTGCTTGTCTTTGAGACGAATGAATGGATCAGGTGGTCAGGCTTTGTTACTTTGTTTACTGCATGTCGTCGTATCCCAATATTGTGCGGATCGATGCTCATAATGTCAGTCACAAGATTGTATGGTCCAGACCGCCGTCATATAGCTGGAATATTGCTGAGTGCGGTGTTAAACAACAAACAAACAGACGACATGATAATACGGATGATGCTAACCGGCATTATTTTCTGACGATACGATGTTCTAATATGTTTAATGTGACTCATACCGTAGTTCCTTTTGTAGACGCCCCCGAAGACGATGTTCATTGTCTGTTTTCTGTTAAAATTTGTAAATTTATGGATAACAACTTCTGGTTTATTGCATATAGCGACGTTTCGATGTAGATTGTTACACCGTTATCAAACTGGAGTGACACCAACCAAGTGATGAGGGAATAATTTAGTTACTGATTTACTAGTCAAGCTACTGTTAGAGCTTTAAATGCCGTAAAGATGTGGTAGGGAAAACATAGTCCTAGCTATGTGTATTCTTGAAGGTGTCTTTTTAAGACAAAAATTAACACAAGGTGGCTGTACGCACCTGCTAACGACAGGTAAGATGGCGGATAACAGACGGCATGTTGAAGAAAGCGGCAGTATATGTGGCTATATGTATCATTTCCTATTACAAAACCGAGTGTTTTCAAGTTACCCTTTCAAAACACGAACAACAGTTCCTGAATATAAAAGGGACAAAACCCTTTCCTTAATCATAAATAAGATCAGCTGAAACACGTCACAACCATCGCATCAGCGAGTCCATAACAGGTGATAGCGTTACAAAATTTCTATACAAACATACCGTTTTCATTTATTTCAGTTGAAAAAAACCCCCAAACAAGCAGCATGTTTACATGCTATTGCAATGATCCAATCTCATTAAAATCAGACCTCAGTTCTCTCTACCGCTAAACAAAGATCTGTAGACATCCCATTAGGGGTCACGTTAGAACGACCTTTCATCCGACCAGAGACCATATAATCTATTATGCCGTAAAGATGCTACCACATTTGCCTACTGATTGGTCATTCCATTGGTCGGTCAAAGTTCGCGCAAGGTCGGTCTGGCGTGACCCGTTACTAACTGGAGACTAGCAGTTTGGAGGTCCGTCGTCTATTAGAGAAAATACGTGTCTAACTGGAGACTAGCAGTTTGGAGGTCCGTCGTCTATTAGAAAACATACGTGTGTAACTGGAGACTACTGAAGTCTGTGTTTGTTTCAGAACGAGACAGGGTCGTATTGGAGGAACATGGCGTCACATCAAAGAGGTCCTCGGTCATAGCGGCAACAGGACGGTGTTTGTGGATGGTTAGTGGCAGCAACACATTTTGTTATTTCTGACGGCATGGGTCGTTGCTCATGCTATCAACCACTGGTTTGCTTACCATGAACTCGATAACTCACGTTATCATCATTTAACTATCTATTATCCAGCGCTGTCATTATTCTCCTGTATTTTGTTATAAATAAACCGGACCCGTCAGTTACCGTTGCTTCATTTCGAGTTCGATTCGAATGAGGCTACTCTGAAATTAGCAGCTAAATCAAATTACCATCAAAGTATGGGGGACGTTGCTGATAAGTGGGATGGGGGTGATGACGTCACATCCGAAACAAGGCATTGAAAGTGGGCGTGGGTGTGTGTGGGGGTATCCACGGTATTTATAAGAACAGAATAGAGATATAATACACTGGATAATCGAGGATATAATATAACATGATTGCTGACAACATTCTGCCGTATGACTTTGGCAAATAAGCTGATTGTTCAATCCGAAGTTTCAAATTAAAATAACCATCTCTGATTGAAACAGATAATATAACGTCCGCACCACTCACACATTCCTGTTTTACCCTCTGCGCTCCTTCCTTTAGCTGTACAGGAAACCCATCTGCATCCATGAACTGTGATACCCGTTTTGTTGACAGGTCTGGTGGGTGTGTACGACAGCGAGTTCAACAATTCCCTTCAGGCAGAGATTCCTCATCGACCACATCTCGCAAACCCTTGCTATGCCCCGCTCTCGCGAGATCTGGATAGCTACCACCAGCGGGATCTCAGTACAATGCAGAGATCAGGATACGTTCCGTCGTTCGGGCAAAATCGTAATTATATAAATCATATAATTATTATACATTGATCTTCACAACTCTACTCTACAACACTTTATAACTCTTTGGACCTAGTGCTTCGGATTATCTTGTTGAGTTGGTAAAGATGGGTATCATGTATATTTTTCGTCATTTCGTTAATTTCAAAACACTGACATATACATATACAAAAAAATAATCGGAATAACCTCAAGTCAACACTACGAAATCAGTTACATCGTTCAGCGCAAAAATGAAAACCAAGCCCCGCCCATTCTATTATCATCCAATCAGGAAACGGTTGTCTGGTAGTAGGCGAGGCCTAATTTTTTCGGTTTATAGAAACATAAACGCAGCAAAAATACCATGTGATAACTTGCAATTTATTTCTGTTAAATCAAATGAACAAACGATAAGTAATACGATTGATTTCCTGTTCTCCAGTGCCGAGTGTGCCGAGAGTGGGGATGGTATCCAGCTCAGATCCAGATGTGCTGAGGAAGATGAGCCTTCAGAGCCAGCACAAATACAAGGGAGTGTACAAATACAAATAATATCGTGGCACTTAGCGTGCATAAAATTGCTTGGCAACCAGTGGAGCAATGTTATATTGATGTATGAAAATGAAAATGAAAATGAAAATGAAATTAGTTTTTATGATTTATCGAAATCGCAAATGTTGAAATTATAAAGGTCTAGTGTTCATCGTAAATTATCATCTTCAGTTTAATTTTATTGTTTCTTTACTTCCGAAAATTCATATTTGATAGAATTGTATTTGGAAATAAGATTACCTCTAAATGTGCAGTTAGTTGGACCGGATATATATTTAGAGGTAGCAATCGAACATTACCTAAAGCCTGACAACCTAAAGTAACACGTGACTTGAGTACGTCACAATGGAATTACCATTCAGCACAGAATACCTGTGAAATCCCTACTATTAAAAACGTGTAAGAGTAAAAAGCGCGTCACAAATAGCGCGAAAATGTTAGCCTCGTTGATGCATGTCTGTTGTGTAAAATCATCATTCCAAGCTGTGATAAGTTAACCACTGATGAAAGTCTTTTAGTCAAATAAACTATTGTTAGTTGATGGAGTATAATGTACATGTATTGAAATTTTACGAAGCAGTATTATTCTATGTATATCTTGAAACAGTATTATGTTTTGTTTATGGTTGTGTTTGTTCAATGTGTATATACTATTTATATATTATGTTTAATTTGGGTAGGATAATTCGTGGTGATGTTTAATATTCATTGTCAGGTTCGTGTTTTGTGCGAGTATATTTGTGAAATAAACCCATGACAACCATACGACCCACTGTTTCTCTTTTTGTGTGCTCTGAAAGTCTGTCCCCATTTGGGGATTTAGGGTTAGAATAGTTTCCCAACAACCATGCCTGTCCAAAAGGATCGACGGTCAGGCTCAGTGACGTTAAATTTTAACTCACTCCCTCAGTGACTTGCGAGCTGTCAAACCCCGACGGCGTGGGCCGTTGCTCATAATATCAATCACTGGTTTGTCAGGTCCACACTACAGGGCGCGGGCATGCTGCTGAGTGCTGAACAACAAACTATCGGTCAGTCAACTGTCAATTGCAATTCCCACCGAGGGATTCTGACAGAATGTCGCCAGTACCCCCAATGCCGGTGACAAGGTCCGTCCTGTTAGGATCGTGTAGTTACAATGCCAAAATTGGCTGAGTGTGTGCTATCGTACCACATTCTATCAGCTACTGGCACTGGTTAGATACTTGCGGGCTGTCGTTAAATTGCGTGAACATTGCAGACTGTGGCGTTTGATAGTCTCATGATGATCTGTCGGACAGACACTACACGATGGGAACCCTTTAAGTACTGTTACAAGTTGAAAGGCGAAGGTTAACCCCGAAACAGCTACGTACACAACTAAATTGTGAAATGAGTAAATGACCATTGAATAATTAAATTAATTATGTTTACAATAATAACAGGCAATACAATTGGTCAAATAAGGGCGGGCACTCATGGAGGTCAAGGATTTGTTGCAATCGAATCTCCTGAGTGAGGCACATGCTACTCGTATTGCCCTCGTGTCGTTCTTATATAGGGGCGGTCGGGTAGCCTAGTGGTTAAAGTGTTCGCTCGTCACGCCGAAGACCCGGGTACGATTCCCGACCTGGGTACAATGTGTGAAGCCCATTTCTGGTGTTCCCCGCCGTGATATTGCTGGAATATTGCTAAAAGCGGCGTAAAACCATACTCACTCACGTTCTTATATAGGCACGGACAGCCTTCTAGAAAATGAACCTCGGGAAACGTCTCGAACAATGTAGTCGGTCCCCGGAATTGAATCGACAAGCTCCTCACAGTGGAGCTCTTGAACCCGGAAGGGTAACGACGGTTAAGGTCTCCACTGTTGGTTCCCGGCGCAAGCTTTATACTCATTCAGATAGACTTGAGCCCAGTCTAAACAAACGTGCCTTGTTCGGTGTATACACAACTTAGGGAGGTCACTCTATTTTATGAGATGCGATGGGCATGTCTCTTAATAAAACCCTAGTCACAACAGATAACGACCGCCCTTGAGTATTTGCTTTGCTGCCACTAACAATAATGGGAAACTTAAAACATATACAATCTCATTAAAATCAGATCTTAGTTCTCGCTATCGCTAAACTAAGCTTTGTTTAGTGGTAGCGAGAACTAAGATCTGATTTTAATGAGATTGATAATATATACTGCCACATGACACCTGATGAGTGAGTGAAGGGGTATGCTTTTAAGCAGGTTTTAGCAATATCCCAGCAATATCACGGCAGTGAACACCAGAAACTATCGGATGAACAAGTATGAGTTTGGTGTGGTACATCTTCCCAGCGTCCACTAGCCTTTTTATCAAAGTCTTGTTTCCACACAGGCCACATCAAGCCCTCTTTCCTGTGCTAAATATGATTGGACTATGGCACATATCGATAGTCCAATCAGAGAATGTTTCACAAAATCAACATCCACACCTTGGTATGAAAGAGATTTACCCTGGCCTTTTTTGTTGTTGACACGAATAATATGTCATCTTTTAACCACCACCCCCCAAGATTGCCTATATTTGTATGAAACCACAAATGTTTTGGTTATCTGATCGACTAGGTCATCGACTATGGTAGTCACCATCTTTAAGAACTGCGATCTGATTGGATATCACGTTTTCATTACAAGGAGTACAACTCGTGATCTATGCGAGGTGGCGCCATGGTTGAGCCATGAAAATAGGCCTTGATGTGACAAGGGGAGATACCAAATCACTGTTACGAGATCAATCATCTTAGTGTAGGGCAATTGGGTACTAAGTGGGTAAGTTGTTCGCACATCATGCGGAATGTTTTGGGTTCGATTCCCAAAATGGATACAATGTGTGAAAGACAATGTAAAACATCAGGAGATGACATATTCCCCGGTCTGGTGCAATTAGGAAAAGGAGAATGGCTGTTTATACCCTACTTTTGGTTCACTGCCATTGGATACCTTCAGTTCAGGGAAAAAAAGAAATAATGGTTTTCCATATTTTTCAAAATCCCAAATCATCATAAGGCACCCAGTCCACTAGACTGATCAATATGGCATGTTTCATCTAGCAGTCCACTAGACTGATCAATATGGAATATTTCATCTAGAGATATTTAACTGTTTGGGAGTTCTGCTCCGGAAACGGAAAACAACTTGTTTGTATCATGAAAAATCATGAAAACAAAACAAAATAAGAAGAATAAATATTCCAAATCATAAGGCACCAGCTCCCAACTAGACTGATCTATATAGAAAGTTTCAACAAGAAACACTTAATGCATTTGGAGGTCTGCTCTGGAAACGGAAAAGATACGTTTGATGGATTTATGGAGGGATGGACATGCTGATCGCTGTAACCCCCATGTTTCAAACAGCAATGTACAACCCTCCTTCAGTGAGTGAGTGAGATGGGTTTTAACGCCACTTTTAACATTATTCCAGTTATATCATGGCGTGTCAGCTTAATGTGGGAGGAAAGCCCGAAGTGATGTAGGTCTCAGATGTTTACCACTTCGGTGAAACCCACGAGCACGGGTATGGTGCTGACAAACCTAGAAACATATCGGGGCGAACCGAGATTCGAACCCACAATCATAGGTTTCTGGCGTGCCCAGGGAACGCAACTCTGCACAGTGAATCGCGACGCCTTAGACGACTGGGCCCATGGTGCCCCCCACAACCCTCCTTCATATAAGGTTGGAACAAAAATGACAGGAACATCATGCAAATTTGATTCATTTATCTCTGGTTGTTCAACAAAATCTATACAATTTAGAACACATTTACATACCGGTATTTAAACACAAATTACCTATCTGCAAATATACAATATTCAAAATATATTCAGTCTCTAACATCATAAAAATTCCTTAAAAGACATCCAACAGTCGCAACAAGTACACAGTCACCCATCTACCTACTCACACTTAAAAATATCCCACCCCTCCCAAGCCCCATCACCACCCACACATTTTCATCTGCCTCCCTATTGGAACAAGGAAAGAAAGAATAGGACACAGGGGATTCATAAAACCATCCTTCTCCTGGGAACTATACACACAAAGCAAACTTTTAAGCGCTGATTATTTGAACTATGTTTAAGTTTGCTTGCACTCAGAAATACCCCTGCTTATTGACAGCAGCTTGAAAATAATCCAGTCTGGACCAGACAATCCTGTGACTGACATGAGCATCTATCCACAATTGGGATACGATGACATGCATCTACCCATCTGATTTTGTTGCCTCTTTCAAGCATGGGTTGAAGGGGACCTGGGCTCTTACCTGGAATCTCTACAGGTGTATGTTTAAGTATGACATTGAAGACAGATGTAGTTCAATTGAGTTCTTAGAGTTTATACATCACATACAGTACATATAATTGTGGTCCAAAGGTTTGAGTGTATTTCTGAAAGCGAATAGTGAATGGGTGACTTGGGTTTAACCCCGCTTTTAACATTATTACAGTTATATCACGGCGTGTCAGCTTAATGCGAGAGGAAAGCCCAAAGTGATGCAGGTTTTAGACGTTTACCACTTTGGTGAAACCAACGAGCATGGGTATGGTGCTGACAAACCTAGAAACATAATCGGGGCGGACCAGGATTCAAACCCACAATCATAGGTTTCTGGCGTGCCCCAGGGACGCAACTCTGCACAGCAAATCCTGGCGCCTTAGACAACTTGGCAACCCGTGCCCCCTGAAAGCTAATACAAGTATCTCAATGATCTAAGATCTCACAAATTAACACAATAACAAACCTTTAAACACTACTTTATCAAAGCCAAGCAACCTGAGTATACCTATTCAAAGTTTAGCTAAAAGACTTCTTGAAGAAAATTGAAACAAGTGATTCATGTATGTATAAGTCGAAAGCGACAATCATGTTCATACCGTAAGGCACAATGATAGTGAAGAATGAACGGTGAAGAGTGTGTTACTCTTTTGTACCTCCCCCGTTGATCAATGCTCCTGCTTTTACCCACTGGTTTGTCTGGCCACGTCACCAGGCAACCATGCTATTGTTGAAATCCTGTGTTTTACACAAAATTTTAACAATATGATGCTTGAGACAGCGAGGTATGTTTGATGTTTTCAACAAAATTTCAACAATATCACGGTTGAGACCTGTTGATTTGCATGCCTTATGAAGCTATGGAAGCAAATTGGTCTAGGATTTATATCATAACAGAATGGAGATTTAATATGGCTTGGAAATAGCTGCAGGCTGATGTCTCTGGTAGAAATATAGTAAAGTTCGGGACACCTTTTGAGCAATGCGATGTTGATAATAGTATAAAATCTTTCAGTTGGCGTTACTGCTGTAAGTGGATGACACAAAACTAGCCTGGTGTGTACTGAAGGTGAAACAACATGCAGGCATTCCTGCAATAAATATAAGCATTGACGGAGGAGTTATTGCCATTTGTTTTCCCTGGTAGGCTTAGTGATTACTGCTACAACAACTCCAGGGATCCTATTGCTGCAGGGTGTCATTACAGCCCTATCCTATATCCATATTACAGTATCTTCACCTTATGTCTGTTCGTCATGAGGACAAAACTTTCATTCTGTATATGATAGGAATTAAATACTACAAAAATATTGTTGGTCTCCACAATTTTGCTGGACAGCAAAAACACAAAAATACTTTTTATTGTTGAAATGGTAGATTTATATATGAGAATATTTTATTTGTACACAAGACTGCATTAAGGACTTGGCTCAAGCTATTTGGCAGCCCATGCAAATGGGATTAAAGACTTTCAACCAACACTATACCTGCTGTCCTAAATTGTTTTATGTAGATCACAGTATATCATTACCATAATTTCACTGGAAAATACTT